ATGACAAGAGTCATCAGAAGATGACATATCCCCGCCCCCACATCTTTGAAAGAACAAATCATCTGACAGTTACTTAAAGTCCAGCTTGATTTTAGACTATGCAAATCGCTTCCATGGAAATCATGAAAAAATAAATGACAAAAATCTGCAAATAGCAAAAGGCACCACTTTGGGATCTGCCTCACATATCTGCCAAGTTTTGCTGAAAGATATTAAGAAGTTTTCAAGCAGTTCGAAACAAAACCCATCCCTTCCTTTTTGAGACTAAGTTCAAATCATTTCCATGGAAACCGAAAAAATAATAAATCACAAATATCTGCAAATAGCAAAAGGCATCACTTCAATATCTGCCTCTACATATCTGCCAAGTTTTGCTGAAAGATATAGAGAGGTTTTGAGTTGTGTCCGAAACGGCTTCCCACCCCTCACTTTTGGGATTAAGTCCGAATCGCTTCCATGGAAACCGGAAAAATAAAATGCCAAAAATCTGCAAATAGCAAAAGGCACAACTTTAGGATCTGTTTGATATATCTATCAAGTTTTGTTGAAAAATATTATATGGTTTTGAGTTGTGTCTCGAAACGAAAGCAATCCTTACTTTTGAGACTAAGTCCAAAATGTTTCCATGGAAACCAAGAAAATAAAATGCCAAAAATCGGCAAATAGCAAAAGGCACCACTTAAGGTTCTGTTTCATACATCTACCAAGTTTTGTTGAAAAATATTGAACGGTTCTTGAGTTATGCTCCGAAACGGCTTCCCATCCCTCACTTTTGGGACTAAGTCCAAATCGTTTCCATGGAAACCGAAAAATAAAATGCCAAAAATCTGCAAATAGCAAAAGGCACCACTTAAGGTTCTGTTTGATATATCTACCAAGTCTTGTTGAAAAATATTGAACGGTTCTTGAGTTATGCTCTGGAAACGGCTTCCCACCCTCACTTTTGGGACTAAGTCCGAATCGTTTCCATGGAAACCGGGAAAAAATAAAATGCCAAAAATCTGCAAATAGCAAAAGGCACCACTTAAGGTTCTGTTTGATATATCTACCAAGTCTTGTTGAAAAATATTGAACGGTTCTTGAGTTATGCTCCGAAACGAAGCCCACCCCTCACTTTTGGGACTAAGTCCGAATCGCTTTCCATGGAAACCGGAAAAATAAAATGCCAAAAATCTGCAAATAGCAAAAGGCACAACTTTTAGGATCTGTTTGATATATCTACCAAGTTTTGTTGAAAAATATTGAATGGTTCTTGAGTTATGCTCCGAAACGAAAAGCAATCCTTACTTTTGAGACTAAGTTCAAAATGTTTCCATGGAAACCAAGAAAAATAAAATGCCAAAAATCGGCAAATAGCAAAAGGCACAACTTTAGGATCTGTTTCATACATCTACCAAGTTTTGTTGAAAAATGTTAAACGGTTCTTGAGTTATGCTCCGAAACGAAGCCCACCCCTCACTTTTGGGACTAAGTCCAAATCGCTTTCCATGGAAACCGGAAAAATAAAATGCCAAAAATCTGTGAAATGCAAAAGGCACCACTTTAGGATCTGTTTGATATATCTACCAAGTTTTGTTGAAAAATATTGAACGGTTCTTGAGTTATGTCTCGAAACGAAGCCCACCCTTCTTTAAGACTAAGTCCAAAACGCTTCCATGGAAACCGAGAAAATAAAATGACAATTATCTGTAAATAGCAAAAGGCACCACCTTAGGTTATTTTTGACATATCTACCAATTTTGGTTAAAAAATATCGAACGGTCTTTGAGTTATGGTCCGGAAACAAAATGATTACGGACGGACGGACGGACGGACGAGGCGACGACTATATCCCACCGCATTATATGCCGGTGGGATAAAAAGCAATAAATTTGACCAAATCAAATGATTCAAAACCTGTTTATGCACTCCATCAATCTGTTTATCTCTCAATCTCACTGCTTAACATGGGTGTAGCCATTTTGAATGCCAATGCCTATATCAGGAAATTTCATTTTGAATGATAAACTTTTTATCAGAATGAGGCTTATAGTACAGCGGTCTGGCACAACAACAACAGTTTGATTGGTGGCAGATCAGTCTATCATAGAAATTTGGAAGAAAAGGGAATAACATACTTGAGAAATATAGTAAATGAAGATGGGAATATACTACACTGTCTTTGGAAGAACTGAACTATAAATATGACATAGATGTTGATTTTCTGACATACCAAAAGAACAATCTTTGAACTTATGCAAAAGAGAAATATCACATTTAAACATGTGGAAAACATACTTGCCTACCCCATTTTACCCTTTAATATTTCCCAAATAGCTGTTAGTAAACATTTTTATAAAACACTATGCCAATATTGTTTTTAATAAAACAAATGGCCAATTAATATGGGAAGAAATATTGGACCGAGACTTCCAACAGAACGAATGGGAAAATATTAATTTGATGGATAATCGATGTACTCAAATTGTTAATTCAAAATGGTTTCAGTACAAGATAACTCAGAATATTTTGACAACTAATAATTACTTGCATTAGATAGGATACATTGATTCACCTGTGTGATCGTTTTGTAAACAGGTGCCTCAGAGTGTTATACATTTTTATGAGATTGTATTCATTCAAGCAGAGTGTGGAAAGAGTTGGCTAAATGGCTAGAAAAGTTAGCAGAAGGATACACTGAATGATAAACTTGGTTTGTGGGTTAGTTTATGGGTCCAGGACAAATGAAACTGAACTATTCTCTCAGTCTTGATTGTGTTAGGAATTCCAGCTCTCAAATTTACAGCTTTAAATGATGCTTACTGATTTATTGAACAATAAATTGAAATAAAGTAATTGTTGTGATGTTTTAAGTTTAATTGGATCATCAAATGTATGATCACGCTTATTTTCACAAAGGCACACCTAAATTATCTGTTTTGTGCCACATGGCACCCTTAGAAACAAATTGCATTTCTATCCCTTATTCTTATATTACTTCCATATATCTAATATAACCATATATCCCACGATGCATCCTTTGGTACTTGTCAGGTTCCTAAGATTGTATGTTCTTGAGGAAAGTGTGCATCCAAGTATGATGGACAACTCCTGACTGGAGGAGTCAGTATTTCGGAAAAACAATTTAAAGTATTATGCCCAGATAATAACTACATTGTATCCCATCAGCGAATTCATGTATGAATAAACACTAAGTAAGAGATCAAGTATTGAGAAACTTTCTCAATAAAAATTTGAAATTTGAAATAAAACATCACAAGACATGCTGCGCATTGTTTATATATGCAGACATTAAGATCACCATGTGTATTTTCTTGGTGTTTGGAAAAATTGTATTTAAAATGATTATTTCAACAGGAATAATATATCCCTATTATGCATGATTTTGGTTGTAAAGTTTATGAATGTATTTAAAATAATATGATGTGTAGTAATTCGGTACATCTGACCACCGTGGACATATATCTTTTACGGATGAAACTATCTGACAAGTACCAGTCAGGCTCGCGATCATGAAAATGTTAAGTTGACAAATATGTTGTAACAGATGAAAGTAAGGCATTTATGATAAATGTATCTGTTCTCTGTCACCTAAAGGTCATCTCAAAGCTTCACTAGCATTAAACTGAACGTGGTTTCTTCAAATAACAGTGAGTTGGTGCACTGTTAACAACTTACCACACCATTTCACTGAATTTATTGTAAACATATTGAATATAATTTTGAAAAAATATACAAAACAGATTAAAACATAAGTCAAGATACACAAGTTATTCCCAGACAGTGTAATTAATTATTAAAATTCAGATTTATTGACACTGTATTTCTGGTGTTAAATGCTCATGGTAATGAGTTTGTATTTAAATAAATGGAATTTTCTAGTAACAGTAAAGGTAGTCTGAATGCATTGCATGCCTGCCTGCCTGCCTTTGTATGGTGGCACATATAATCAGCCCACTTGTTGATCATCATGGAAGCCAAGGAAGCAACAAAAAGTTCAGGAACAAGCTATTTCATCTTAAAAATTCCAAATTTTCAAGAGGGAAGCCAGACCCTCACCAATGGGCTGGTGCCCCCCATTCAAAGCCCTCCCACTTGACAACTTGGTTTCCGATTGGTACCTACTTACGGCACTGGTGATGAGACAACGGGCCCAATAATATCTAATTTCATATCAAATCCAAAATGATCCCTGACTTTATAATGTGATGACATTCATACAGATTTCTGGCAATGATGAAACCAAGGTGTTGTTTTAGTAAGAACAAGCATTGTCACTAAAGTGACATAATCCCCCACCACAAATTATCAAATCAAACTTAAATAGTAATGAAAGTTTAAGATGAAGGTAAAAAATGTCAACAAAAACATTACCAGTCAACCTCTCTTAATATCTTGCTCTTTAGTTGTTCAAACGCAAAAATATTTTCAAGACTGACTTTGACCTTGACATGAATGTCATAGTGTATGAAATATGCAAAAATGGTACTAAAGAAATTGCTTATTGAAAAACATTCAAGGGAAGTCTTGAAAGTCTATGAAGAAAATCCAGTGAATTCAGGTTAACATGCTGAAATCTTCAAAGTATCGCAGTGACCTTGAAAATTATGTGAAGGTCACCAAAATTGACTGGGCCCTGCGCCTTCATGAGATGAATCTTGGTGTCAAATATGGGAAAAATCCAGTAAATGTTTTTTGCGATATCGTGCTGACTAGCTTAACATGCAATTTAACATGCTGAAATCTTCAAAGTGTCTCTGTAACCTTGAAACTTGAGTGAAGGTTGCCAAAATTGACTGGGCCCTGCGCCTTCCCTAGATAAAGCTTGGTGTTGAATATGAAGAAAATCTAGTGAACGGATCTTGAGATTTCCTGCTGACAAGTCACAAACATCTGTCATAATCATGTGGTTGAGAAAAATAATCGGCAAATATGTCAAATCTTCCTCAGATTGTATCCATATGCCAGGTGTTCACTTAAAGCACTACAAACATGCTTACCCATGACCCGTAGGTGCAATGTAGTAGAGACAACAATGGACTCGAGTGTCAGAACTTAACGTCCGGTTCACACGTGATTCAGCATTGAGGTACTCTTCGTACTTGGTATCAATGTAGTCTATGACTGGCTGCCAGCTAAAAATAACAAAATATACACATATACATATGAGCATGAGATGAGCAATTGCAGTTAGTAACCTGAATATTATATTTATTGTTCAACAAAATAGAAACAGCTCACTTGAGCATCAGGTCTGTACAGAAGTTCATCCCAATTGCCAAAAATAATTTTGTGATACATTGTGTGTTTTGGGTTGAGGTGTCCATCTCTTAAAAACAACAATACATTGTTCTGAAATTTAAGAAATATAAATATTCACTGTTGCATGCTGACAATAACATCATTGCACTGGAAAAACAACAACACAAACTGCTTTTTATATACCCCCAAAACACAGCAATATTTAAGGGGGAAAAATAACACTCAAGAAAATACAGAGGAGACCAAATCAGTATATTTATGCCCTTAAGCTGCATTCACAGGCAGATGAATGACGTTATTTTTTTTGCCTCAATGACAGCAAAAAAACACTGCATTATTTCACGTTTTGCTACGAATGCTCTTTATACACTTTTATCAGCAAAATATTTATGTTAACATATATTTTTTTAATTTCTTTTTTACACCATTAGAATTGGGTGTATTAAAATTATGTTTTCAATTTGCTATTCTTCATTTCAGAAGATCCATAAACGAAAATATGCCCCAAAATTAATCATGTTATTTGCAGTTCAGTAAAACTATATGCCTACTGCAGTTTGTTGCTAGTACTTTGAACCAATGTAACACAATAAAGAACTAAATGCATTTGCATTCAGTGATATCACTTCCTATCGAATGACATAACTTATGGCTTGTGAAAAAACATGTATAACATAGAGCAGCTTTAAACAGATAGGAATATTATGTAGAAAGTCATGGGAATTTTCAGTCTTATGACCTGAAGCATTGTTGTATTATATGTTGTATTATTTCAAGCTGAAAACATGGGGTTGATTCATCAGAAAATGAAGCAGAACTATTGACTGACTGAGATATTGAATGTCGGTCACACAAAACCTTACCACTAAAATGGCCCACACCCAGGGCGATAAGTACAAAACTACTTGAGATTTCATTTAAAAAGACTTAAAGTGCTCTGGCATTAAAAAAATCCGCAAAAAATATTTAAAGCATCAATTGCCAATGATCCAAATTTCATGGCTACATAACATTGCTGCAGTAAATTTACAACTGTTGAGGTGAACATTTGAACAGCTATCAGCATTTGAAAACAAATCTCACCAATTGCTATTGTCAACAGCATCCCCAAATCCTGGCGTATCAACTGTGGTCAGTTTCAGTTGAACCCCATTTTCCTTGAGAAGCACTGTAGTTGTGTCAACCTGTAATATGTAAAATACCTTATACATATTAAACTAAAAAAATATTTGTGAGTGTTTCCAAACAACCAGCCTTCTCAACACTATTTCTAGAAGGTCCCAGATATCATTACACAACATATTTTCAGTGTGATACCACCACCTTCAGTTTGGTGAATTACTGTACATGCTTTGTGCAAGTATCAAGTCAACACTGCAAGGAAGATCAGGCATTTCCATTGTCATGACATCGGTCAAGTATAATGACAGAGCAGTACAGTGTGTAGTAGTACTAGTCCTTCCAATCATGACTGGGAATAGCTTTTGTTTTTAGGTAAGGTATGATATTATTATAAAACAAAACACATAGCACAAAATTCAGCTTCCTCTGGCAATTTACAAGAGTCATCAGAAAATGAAACATACCTTCGACCCTCACAAATTCAAAAGAACAAATCATCTGATTGTTTACAGCAATCCCAACAAGAGCATACTGATGGGAGTATTCCTGGTTAATCTGTCTGTCGACCTTCAAGAATAGTTATTATGCTTTCAAAACAACACTATGGAATTGGCAATTGCAACTTTGTATTTGTATGGCAGGTCCATTTTTTAGCAAAGATACGAGTTAGTGGTTATGACACAAATGGTGCAATACTCTTTAATTGGTTACAACAAGCATTGTCACTAAGGTGACATAATCCCCTGCCGCAAATTATCAAATCAAACTTATAAAGTAATGAAAGTTTAAGATGAAGTTAAATGTCAACAAAAAAACTATCTTGCTCTTTAGTTCTTCAAACATACACATATTTTCAAGACTGACTTTGACCTTGACATGAATGTCATAGTGTATGAAATATGCAAAACTAGTACTAAAGAAATTGCTTATTGCGAGTCTATGAAGAAAATCCAGTGAAATCTGAAATCTTCATAGTGTCGTCCTGTCCCTACAAATTATGTGAAGGTCACCAAAATTGACTGGGCCCTGCACCTTCCCTAGATGAATCTTGGTGTCAAATATGAAGAAAATCCACTGAATATTTTTTGCGATATCTTGCTGACTATCTTAGCAAGCAATTTAACATGCTGAAATCTTCAAAGTGTCTCTGTAACCTTGAAACTTAAGTGAAGGTCACAAAAATCGACTGGGCCCTGCGCCTTCCCTGGATGAAGCTTGGTGTCAAATATGAAGAAACTCCAGTGAATGAGTTAAGTTAGGTATCTCGAACACGTGGGCCCTATGCTGAAATCTTTAAAGTCTCTCTGACCTTGAAAATTAAGTGAAGGTCACCAAAATTGACTTGGCCCTGCGCATTCCCGGGATAAAGCTGGGGTTGAATATGAAGAAAATCCAGTGAACGGTTCTTGAGAAAGCTTCACATGCAGGTTTACATGCTGAAATCTTCAAAGTGTCTCTGTGACCTTGAAAATTATGTGAAGGTCATCAAAATCGACCGGGTCCTGCGCCTTCCCGAGATAAAGCTTGGTACTGAATATGAAGTAAATCTAAAGAACGGTTCTTGAGATAGCTTAACATGCAGGTAAAACGTGAAAGTCCCCTTGTGACCTTGAAATGAACCTTTCTTATAGTGTGATGAACCCAGGTACCAAATATGAAAAGAATCTAGACAACGGTTCTTAAGATAGTCCAATTCGTACGTACGTACGGACGGAGCCTAATACTATATCCCCCGCTTCGCGCTAAATGCGCGGCGGGGGATAATCACATGAATAAAGATATTATTTATCACAATAGTGATAGCGGTGTAAAACTGAACTCACTCACTCACATATAAGAAACAGAGGTGTGCAAAATAAGTGGCATTCAATCAAGACCCCACAAAAGTGGCTGTACTTAAACACCTCTGTAGTGAAAGAGGTCGGTCCTTGCACCCACTGTAAAACTGTGAAAACAAGCCACAGAAATGACAAATGAGAGGATCAACCATTGGTAGTGTATCCTCTGGAAGATGAATGGAAAAACTTCCAATGAGCTGTGAAGATCAGAACATGCAGATACGTGTGCTGCAGATCAAGGTTGAATAAGTAATCCAATGGATTGATGATCATACAAAAGCGTATCATGGAGACCAGCTACTGGAAGTGTGGAGGCATCTCCAGAGCCCAAGTGCTGAAAATGTTCAGGTAGAAAATCATGCAGAGCTTCTTGAAGTCTTTCTTGGGAACAAGAAAGATATGGTGAGTAGAAGCTGGAAGTGTCACCCAAGGGACCTAAGGAATATATTGCTAACTAGTCTAAGAATGTAGCTAAGGTTTGAAGTGCTGACATCTACAATTCTGGGTACTCTCGATCTGGAGAATCGGACGTTAAGGGTGGCGCTCCCACCAGTGGTAGCCTGCATCTCTTTGTGACAATGGTACAGATCACCTAAGTCTTCCGCCTACTTGGGAGATGAAGATAGGATAAATGGGAGCAGACTCACTCTCCTCCTGGGACTTGACGAACTTTAATTGCCCTTGAAGAAGAAGTAAAAAAGTTCTTGTGGCATCTCCCACGTCCTCTTGAAAAATTCATAATGAATAAGAGTCTTTGAGATCAGGATTGTCAAGGACATAGTACGATGGACATCTTTGGCGCAATGAATCTTGGACTTGCATCTTTTGCATTGTAAATAGCTCAAACAAATTGTCTCTCTGCTTTTTAGTAAACAGACCATATCACCTCAGTAAACAAGTAAGATGCTGCCGAAGATCCCAAGAAAGACATAGGAGGGGCTGAAAACAGACAGGATAGATGTACAAAAAATGATTGTTGCAGGGTCATACACGGACCAAATGGGATCATCAACAGAAAGCATATTCCAATGGGGTTCGGTGATCTTCCAACTACTTCTGATCTTGAAGACACTGACAGAATGGGAGCAAGAGGACCAAATGCAGGATCGGATGGTTGAAAAAGCTGTTTAAGAATCCCGTATAAGTAGGTGTCTGATGGAGCTAACAGAATATCATCATCACTTGGGATTGATGAAGGGGAACATTGTCATGCCTTCTTAGTCATTCCTCGTCACTATATGGCAGAAATATTGCCGAGGTGACGTTAAATATTAACTCACTCACTCACTCTTAGTCATTCACTTGTTGTTTTTTTTATTGTAGACAAGCCTGACTCTTCTGTACATAACTTGCAGTCATCTGTGTTGGTTCTTCGCAAAATAGCCAACCCGTGCACTGCAAATTTGTTGACCAAGCGATGGCAGGTGTTACATCTTTTTCTCCAATTACATATTCCAATATAATCAATGCTAGAGGAATAAGGGCCATATAAAGAAAATGTTCTTCTGCATCTTCCACAAGGCCTTGTCTTAGTAAAAAATAGGAATCTTTATGACAGGACGTCTGCACCTGAGGGCAACAAGGACAAAAATGACTTCAGTTGGGACTCACACGGTCAACCACAGCCTCAAACAATTGATAGTGCTAGAGTGTGTTTGGGAAAGGTAATACAAGAGGCTGATAGCTTTCTTTCAGGTGGTTTCTTTCTACTCCAGAGTCATAAGAAAAGAAAGATAAAATGCATAATGTGAGAGAGAATAAGTTGAATTGCACAGTGAGTCAGTTAAAGACTTAAAAGTTTCATCTTCTTGCAACCTATTTACAAAGCTCAGCGACTAACAAATATGTGAAAACCTAATATTATTTGCTTTATGATAAATTTAGACGGAATTCAAGGGGGCTTGAAGGAGAGAACTGGACACAACCAAGAATTTCGCACATGGCTACAACTCAACAGATAACAGTTAAGCTACAGTTAAAGATAGATGTTGATATTGTCATGAATGCTCAAGTTGGCACTATTCAATTGTGGGAGGTATGACTCGTACTGTTATGATTATTATCAATGAAGGATATTATCATAGAGCTCTTGTCTTTATAGATAGTTCAAGCAGGTATTGAAGATTTATATACAGAATTTGAAAAGTAGAAAATGAAGGAAACTAAATATATGTGTTGATATGTGGTCATAATTGCAAGTTGGAGATACATCCCAATACCAGTTATAATCTGTGAAATTGTTTCATTAACTATGTGGAAGTTGCTGAAAAAATATATCCTTTGTGTATCAATCATAACTTTGCAATATATATGGGGTGGTCCACCTTGCAAATTTCTGTTCATCTGGAGTTAAAACACAGCTACAACTTACAAAATGTCCAAAGCAATTTGAAACCAAGGCTTAGAAGATCGGAGTGAACTTCTTATTCAAAGAAAAGAGCTATGTTCAACTCAAACAACATCTTGACAAAGTAATGTACTTTCAGATCATTGAAACTAATATTGATACTATCACAGACTAAAGCTGAAGCATCTGAAAAGTATGTCATCCGCAGACATGAGAAATTTATGAGGAAAAATAGAAAAAGCTGTATGACATGACACTTCTTTGAGTGTCAATTTTTATAGAAGTTGGAGAGTCAGATAAGGACAAACTTTATGGATGAACAACTCCTATATTCAGTTGATGCGATGTTTCGATACAGATTTCAATGCAAGAATCTGTATCGAAACATCGCTTCACCTGAATAAAGAAGTTGATCATCCATAAAGTTTGTCCTTATCTGACATAATGACAGTTAAACAAATTCCTTTTAAGGTAATAAAGTATTGTCTGTCTGTCTGTCTGTCAAATAATTGTTACGCTCCCTCATTTCAGTCAGCTTACAACTTAGGCTTCAGAAGCTGATTTTAACCTGCACCAGTTCAGCCTTTGTTTAGACAGTGGATCAACAGTGGATAACTGTGCACCAAAGTATAACAACTTTTTTCCATTAGTATGCAAAGTGAGTAAGTTCATTGTGCACAAAGTTCATGGGCCACGTGTGATACATGACATCAACTTTCATATACACTAATAGAAAAATGTAACTGTGCATATCATAAAGTTGTATACAAATTATTTGAAAAGTATAAAAAAAAAAACTAAATAAATTTATAGCAAAGCACTTTGCATGAAATCTGATGACACGTATCATGCATTGTACCTGCAATTTGTGCACAAT